CACGCACACGCACACGCGCACGCACACGCACACGCACACGCGCGCGCGCACACACACACACACGCACACACGCACACACGCACAAACGCACACACGCACACACGCACACACACGGACACACGCACACACGCACACACGCACACACGCACACACGCGCACGCACACGCACACGCACACACACGCGCACGCGCACTCGCACACGCGCACACGCGCGCACACACGCGCACACGCGCACACGCAGGCGCACACACACGCGCGCAGGCGCACACGCGCACACGCGCGCGCGCACGCACACACGCGAACACGCACGCGCGCACACACTCGCACACGCACAGACGCACACACACACACACACGCACACACAAACGCACACGCGCACGCACACGCACACACACACACACACACACGCACAAGCACACGCACGCTCACACGCACACGCACACGCATACGCACACGCGCGCGCACGCACACGCACACGCACACGCGCACGCACACGCACACGCACACGCACACGCACACCCACACACGCGCACACGCGCACACACGCGCGCATACGTGCGCACACACACACACTCACGCACACACGCACACACGCACACACACACACACTGACACAGGCACACACGCACACTGACACACGCACAAACACACACACACACACACACACGCACACGCACGCACGCACGCACGCGCCCGCACGCATACACACACACACACACCCACACGCGCACGCACACGCACACGCGCACGCACACGCACACGCACACGCGCGCGCGCACACACACACACACGCACACACGCACACACGCACAAACGCACACACGCACACACGCACACACACGGACACACGCACACACGCACACACGCACACACGCACACACGCGCACGCACACGCACACGCACACTCACACGCGCACGCGCACTCGCGTACACGCGCACACGCGCGCACACACGCGCACACACGCGCACACACGCTCACACACGCACACACGCACGCATGCACGCACGCACACTTGTACAAACGCACACACGCACACAGGCACATACGCAACACACGCACACCCACCCACACCCACACCCACATTCACACCCGCGCCCCGCGCCCACCCCCTCACCCACACGCACATGCACACGCACACGCACACGCACACGTGCACAAACATGACGCACAAACAAATTTAGATGCAAAGACAAGCACTACCATGCTGCCAAAGGACTTTCTGTTTTATGGATCATTTCTGTTCGCTTGGCGTTTGAGTTGTCCGATTAGTTTTGCTTAGCCAACTTGCCACTGTGTGTTTTCTGCAACGATTTGGAGTTTCTTGCGTATTGTCCAAGGATACTCTGCCATGACGCGGTCTTTTGCATTGGCCGTTGCAGGAGGGAGATGGAAGCGAAAGTGAAAAACTTGCTCAAGAGGCTTCGGACAAAAAACGCAGAGAGGAGACGACATGAACTGGTGACCAAACTGTGGGGATGGTCTGCAGCTGCGTCGTTCGACTAACATGATTTGTGGCTGGGAGTAAACTGCATGACTGTTTGAGTGCGTCTTGGAAGGAAGTTGTATAGACACACACACACACACGTGTGTCGTAATATTATTATTGGAGAGGGTTTTGGTCACCTTCAAAGATCGTCGTTTTCGCTGGTGCTTGAGGTGCTGAGTCTGTGGCAGAGCTGCGGAGACAAGGTCGGTGTGGCAGTGGCCTGCAGCTCAGAGAGCACACACGCAAGTCGTTCTTTCTTCCAGGTTTAGAGTTCAGAACCACCATCCATTGGCGCTGTTTGCTTGCATGGGCACAGATTGGCAATCACGCTTTGGGAAGGCAGGACCTCCACTTGTTTTCATGGTCTGCAAAAGTCTCCAGCTTGTTTTTGACAGATCCAAGTTTGCGGGATCCTTGGCCCCACAGTGAACGGATGGCACGTGTGCCGAACATCGAGGGCTGGCACCTTCTGTCTGCCGCGCGTTCGCTGAGTGGACAAGGCCGGCGCTGGGCGGCGGGGTGGGGCCTCGCGTTTCTCCGCTCCGAGGATTCCACAACTGTTTGTTGGGGTCACACAGGGTACGAAGGGCTCAGCTCGGATCTTTTCCACATTCCTCAGGCCTTCCGCAGGCTCCCTTCCCGATTTCGTCATTAGCTGCTGTTGGTTTTCGACTGAAGAAAGGCAGTTGCAAGGCCGAGGCCCTCCAGGGTGAACTGGTTCGTGGCCGCCAAAGAGTACAGTAGGTTGCGACGAATCATGGGCTGTGCAGGGAACGCGGTCTTGAAGCAAGCTTGGATGCTGAAGCCTATCAAGAGGATGCGGGCTTTGCCTTCTTCTGACCATTAGTTGTGTTGATTGTTTCGATTGGTTGTTTTCCCAAGAAGGAGTTGACTTCCTTGGTCTTGGAGCGCTCAAAATGCTGATTGGTGAGCTTCGGCAACTGAACTTCTGATGAACTCATCTTCAGCAGAACTGAAGCAGCTTGCGCTGCTTGTTCGAGTGGAGAGGCGCTCAGTCTCCTGCGCGGTGTAGAGGCCCATGGAGTTAGCTTCCACCTGGGCTTCCTCCATCTGAACTCAAACCCTCTTTTTTGACAAGCTTTCTTTTCGGAGGTTCAGACTTTTTAGCAGGTTCAGGCTCAGCAGGCGACGTCGTCGAGGTCTACTGCAACTCCAGATGCGGCTTTGGAGAGTTTTGGTCCGTAGGTGAACCAGGCCGTGCAGACGCAGGAGGTAGCGGTGCAGGTTTTGAAGGTGCAGGGGCGGGATCACGACCGGAAAAACTTTCCTGTACTTGTGGGGAGCTGGCTTGCTTACCAGTCATCCACCGTAGTAGAACCATTGTGGTCAAAATTGTTTGCGAGGAAGAATCTGCAAGTGGCTGTTGTTTGGAAGGATCTTCCGTGTGGGTAACATCCCAACTGAGCTTCTCCGTCGCGGTCAAGGGTCTGACGGAGTGCGCGCTGCAGCGGAGGAGCTTGCCAGACAAGAGAGCACGAACGATGTGGCGCCTTGCGCCACCCTCCTTCCGCTCTGGGCCCGACCCATCCAGGTCTTCCAGCCTTCTTTCAGCCGCCGCGAGGTCCAACAAATAGATCTTGAGGGGCGGCCTTGCCCCAGACTTTGCCGAGCGGTGATCTGTTGGACAGGCTCGTCGCCTCCTGAACGAATGGTGTTTCGTGCTGGGGGATCTTGTTGAACTGGATGAACACTGCCTGCGGCTACCTGATGCATGTAGTCGGAGGGGTCCTTTAAATCTTTGGCCCCAGGCTTCTGTGAGACCACTTGGGACAACAACGACCCTGTGGGGAAGGGCGGTGATGGCAGCTTGTAAGCTGGTGCTACAGGCAGGCCAACTGTCTGCCTTTCGCTTCCAAATGCTTGCTGCTATTCTTGCTGTCGCAAGAAGAAGTGTGCAGAGGGCCGGGAAGCTTGAGATCATTTGGCGCCGGATGGTGCCCAAGGCGAACAGCCCACCGGCGCCACGGGGCATGCTCATGGTCTCGGGCCACACCTCGCTACTGACGTGCCTGGAAGAAAGAAGGCCTGACGTGGTCGGAAACATGTCGCCGAAGGAAGGAGGTCTTCTATGCAAGTGCAGCGGCTGCTCAACCACAGACCAGATGCCCAGACTGTGACACACATCCACCACGGAGATCAGATGGTCGTCACTCCGCATGGGGGCTGCAAGGCAGACCGCTGTGCCCTGGAGGCGCAGTTGCATGATCCAACGGCTCTGGACAAGCATGCGCAGCCGCAACAGACTTTGATGATCAAACTGGCAGCAAATGAATTGGCACCCGCTTAAAGGCGGTGGCGCGTGGCGGGGGCCCTTGTCAACGCAACTCCCCCACGAAGCCTGGGGGGGAGCAGATCCCTGGTCTGTCAACTGCGACTCATCCCCCGAAGCACTTCGGGCTGGGCTTTGGTGCTCCGGAGCGAGGGCCCTTCCCAGTGCGGTGGGGTGCGACCACTTGCCTTTTCCGCGCTTCCTCAGGGTTTCCACACGCCTATGCAGCTCAGAATGGCTAAGAAACGGATTTCTATTTGTGTGTCTGAAATGAGGGCCCCTCTGAGCCATGTACAGCAGTTCCATGGATGTGAGCCTGATCAGAAGGTGCCTGTTGCAGAGTTGGTTCACTGCGATAGTGCGCGGCCACTGAAGTTTCGGCGCGACTTCTTACTCCTTAGATGATAGGTGGAAAGACCAGCAAGAAACAAACATGAGTCTACTAGTACATAAGACAGGGTTGTTTTCCTTTTGGCTTCCCGAGACAACCCTCGAGACGCCTTCTAAAGGACTCACCCCATGAACGGCAGCTCCATTTGAGCGCTGTCAACGCACCCCATTGAATTGATAGCACTGGCACAGACACGCCGACATCCCCACACAAATCAACATCCCAACCTCAATGCATAGGTAAGCCACACATTCTAGGCCAACAAATGCAGCTTTGACATTTTGTGTTCAGCCCTTTTGTTGATATGCTCTGACTTGTAATTTGCCAGCACGCCAGCAGACTAGCAAGGCAGCGAGCAGACCAGCGAGCCAGCCAGCCAGCTAGCATGGTAGTAAGCCAACAAGCAAGCTAGTAATGTGTCAAGGTACAAGGTTCTCGCAGGAAGCTGGCCATGCCTCGCGACAGAATTCATTTTGCTAGATCGCAAGGGCCTGCAGCGGGAACAAGATACCTCGGGCATTTCCTTGCGGAACTTTGGTATTTTGTTTTAATTAAACTACCCTTTGTGGAGAACTTGGGTCAGTGTCCCCTGAGTTCCCCCTTCCGTGAATTGGTGTTTTAAGGGAAGCCGTTTGAAATGGTTGGCTTCACGGTGTCGCCTCAGAATGAGGGAATCTCCTTTAACTGTTTAACGTGAGGTACTTTGTCATAGGCATGGCCCACTTTTGTATCCGAGCGGTTCCCAGTTTACCACGGATGCCAGGCAACCTCATGGAGCCTCTGACCAAAGCCTTGGACTTGTACCGGGAGGAAAGGTGGAGGAGATACGAGGCGCGGAGTGAACAGGGGAGCCAGCGGAGCCAGCCTTTGGGTCGGTGCCCATACCCGACAAGCCATGAGCGGTGCCCATACCCCCAGTTGGCCAGAGGCTCTACTAACTTTTTATTGACAAGGAATGATAGTGACGGCCTAGATTTTGATTTGTAAGCACTCTGGTAGAACCAACCATCGTTTTCTGGGGCCACCAGGGATTGCAGAGGCACACATCTTCTTGAGCTGATGGGCATTTGCGTGTTGGGTGCTTTGATATTTTTGACCAAGTGACAGCCCAAGCTCAGCTTTCCTTTCCCGGCAGCATGCGCCAAGTTCCGTCGCCGAGCAACAGGCGACAGTGCTTTACAACCTGTCGGAGCGGCAGCGCTTCGAGCCTCATGGAGGACTCGGGTTGCATTTCTCACACTTTGGCTGATGGGGACCCAGGTTTAATGAACCACAACTTGGGGGGTGTCGCATAAGGAAGAGTTCCCTTCAAGGAATCTCCCCAGCCCTCCAATCTTATTAATCTCGGGCCAACATGATTGCGGAAGTAGAGTCGGGCAGAGGATGTTCGCAGCATTTTGGCGACTGGGAACTAGCTGTGACCTGCACAAAACATCGCCTCCAGCCGCCTTTGCAGTGCAGGAGCCGTGGCACAGAGGACAGCAGAAGAGGCACTTACGGACCGGCCATGCCCTTGTCAACGGCGCAACTATCCGGAAAGAGGGACCCCCATCAAGAATTGGTTTCCTTTTCGCCATCCCTTCGAATTTAGGCCATCTGCATTTGGGTCCACCCAGACGAAGCGTGTGCAGACATGCTGGGTGGCCCAAGGGTTCAATGTTTGGCAACTCAGTGTGCAAGGTGGAACCTGTTTATTAGAACCCCTTTCCTTGAGCTAGTGCTGACAAACGGATTTGCGTCAAGCGAAAACAACCCCGGTTGAACACCATGTTCAAGCCAGGGTTCCATTTTCAATTGCCTCAAGGTAGGCTTAAGCTCAGTGGGTGGTGTACTTAGCCAAAATGGATCGGCAACGGGTTTAAGTCTATGAGGTTTGCTTAAACGGAAACCCAAGAGGTGCAAGTTGCTCCAAGTTGCTCCAAGTTGCAGGCCGTCAGCATTTGGCGGGAGCTGGGCAACTTCAAGGGCGAGGCGACGGCCATGACGGCGGTGGCGAAAGCCATGATCACCAGGGGTCTCCGAGAAGACGCTCGGGATGAATTTGGGCGCCTGCCCTGGGCCCCCTTTTTGAACGTGCGCGATCTTCTGACACGAGGCAAACATTGCCCTACCGCAGGTAATCTGAACCCACACTCGCGCACCCTTCCAGCAAATAAACGCAATATGAGAGTGTGCCATAATCAGACACCCGTTTGGATGGCTTACAAACAAAAGCCTGAGGGAACTGACCCATCAAGCTCTTGACGATCCATAAGAGGATACTTGTGCGAAGAGAACCGTGGTGTGTCGGGCAGAAGGACCTTCGACCACGGACACATTGCGCTGCAAACTGCGCGGGGGACATGAGTAGCTCAAAATCAGGTAGCTCTCAGATCAGGTTGATTGAGACCCAGACAGCATCAAAGGATCAGATCCGCTGCAAAGGCACCTTTGCTTTATTTGTCGCACTGGCGATGCACCCAATGCCATGTATACTGAAGATCAAGGGTAAGACAGCCACACTGATCAGAGGCTCAAATCTTCGACGTTATGCTTGTTGCCACATCCTAAGCACCGCGCATGTTTCGGTTGCGCGACACGCATTGCATCTCGCACTCCCATCTATTTGGCACAGAGCATGTAAATCCGGCCGCACATGAGCCTCACAGCACAAGCCAGCCCTGTCAGCTGCCAGGGCCTTCACAGCGTTCTCGGTATGCTGTAAGTAGAGGCCTTCTGGCAGTGGTGCGTGAACGGGGCGCGGGGTATTTGAGTAGCCCAAGCTGCAGAGGCACTCAGAGGCTAGAGCCATTTCCTTGGCTGCTAAGGATGCCTTGCAGCTTGTCCGGGGACGGATGCGAGAGCTGCAAGAAGACAAGCTGCTTGGCTATGGACGGAAGGGGAGCTGAGCTGGGGCTTGGCTGGCTGGCTTCAGGAGATTCATTACACTGGGCTGGCTGATTCTATGACCTGTTTGGGCGGCCATCCGGGCGTGACCAAAGGCCAGCGCTGGCTCAGCTGGGATACGGCTGCATCCCTGTCCTGCAGGACACTAGTCTAGGGGTGCACTGATTGACGGCCAGTTCTCAGACACAGCACGGTGGCAGATTGCGTTTCCCCCTCGGCCCAAGGCAGATGATCAAACCCAGTCCGTCGAACACTCCGTGAAAGGTGATGATATGAGAGGTCCGAGGTTGCCAAGCATCATCGCCTTATAGCCCTCTTCTTGCAGCAGACCCAAGTGTCAGGAGTGTGGTGCCCACGACGATGCATTGGCAGTTGCACGTCCCTGAGTTGCCATGCGACGCAATGCGACGCATGCGACGCTTGCTGCTGGCAAGAATTCTTGAAAGGAGCCACCGCTGAAATTTGTTGCTCTCCTTGAAGTTACCATGTGCCCACCATACCCTCCCTCCAAACAAATTAGATAAATGAATATGTGTAACATTAGGTCAACCGTCTTGTACAGTTTGCTCAGGCAGAGGAGGTCTTAGCCATCAACCGGGAGCTTGGCAACAGGCGAACATTTCAATGCTATTTTGTGCTTGTGTGTGTGTGTGTGTGTTTATGTGCAAGCTGTGGCAAGGCAGGAACACAACCTTTGCAAGCGCTTCTTTCGAGGCATGAGGAGGCTTGGACGCTGAAGAACCTTTCTGAGGCGTGTGGCCCGCTTCAGATTTGCATGGATGATCAGGCTCCCTTTGAGGTTGGGCCGATTGGGTTTGCCTGCCGTTAGGTGCGCAGAGACATGGGACTCTTCCAGGAAGCGTTAGATTGCGCACAGGAGGCAAGTTGCATTGCATGTCTGCCACGGCGTTTGAGCGTTTTACCGTTTTTCTTTCCATGTTTGAGACCATCGTAGACACCCAACGGTTGCAAAGAGAGTGCTGGCTTCACTTGATCCATGCCCTTTGCCGGGGTGCAGTGGCTCGTCCAGGCCCAAGCCGTCTTCCAAGAGCTGGGCGATGAGATGGGCGAGGAAGAGGCGAAGAAAGTCCTCTCCCACATCTACACCGCCGTCCCCTGAGACTTGTGTTGCGTGGTTGGGTTTTGGTGATGCAGGTTTGCATGTTTAGGTATTCTTCAACTGAAGACAGTCCTGAAATGAGCGGGGTCAGCCTGGTGGTTGCTGAATCTTCTGATTCATGACCGAGGCAAAGCGAGAGGCGCACAAGTCACCTCATCGTCAACGAGCGTTGGATTTGTTGGGCACCTTGGGCTGGTTTTCTCCTTCCGCTCGATCCGAATCTATAGGTGCTGCGGAATTCATGCCATGAGTGATGCCTTCAGCCGCAAGTTTGACGATTGCACATGGGAGCCGGAGAAACTGAGAAACTCGTGGTGGTGCAAGCCAGGCCAGTTTGCTAGTTGCGTGGCCCAGAAGGATAGTGAAGGCCCGGCTGTGACTGCTTGCGAAGCTCGCAAGCGAACTGCCAGCTCTTGCAGAAAGTTTGGTGGAACCAGTGGACACTTTGCGGCTCACTTTTAACCTCCGGGCCCATCCCACGGATGGCCCTCATGCGTCGCAGGCTTTCAACGGGCGCTGACGCAGCTTCGGCTGTACCAGGCTGGGATTCCAGTAAACTTCAAGCATATTGTTAACATTGTGGAGTTTCACGTCTTGCGATGCTTTTTGTCTTTTACGCCCTTACGCCCTTGACCAGGGCGTGGATGGGCAAGATGTTGCTGCCAGTCTCGGAAGTCTCATGGAGGACGCCGCTATGGGCTGCAGCCTCGCCACTGGCCTTTGACTTGATCATTTGGTCAGGACCCCGAAACCTACAGGTGGTACGTTGAGGCATCCGCGGATTATTTTCAGGCGCCCATGGCAGAATCTGCATCAGTCGTTTTTGTGTTTTAACGGCGAAGTCAGAAAATTCTCGCCTGCCTTGTAGGTCACATTTGAGGAGGCCGAGTCCATGGTAGGCCGTGCGCCGATGAATCCGACGCAGCGCGCGGCGAACCTTGACTCTCGTGGCTCCCTGGCTGAACATTCGGCTGAAACTGTCCAGGCGGCGCAGATTTTGTGACCCTCAATCCGTATTTGAGAGTCGAATGAGTCTCCGCCGAGGTGTGAAAGGCGGAGGCCGGCTTGACATCGTGCGTTGGACACTTCACATGTTCTTCAAGTTCACAATGCAAGCATTGAATCAGATTTGCAATGGTGCAAATTGCCGTTTGACAAGTCAGGACAAATCGTAGATCGCCATCCAAAGAAGTAAGCGCTGATTCGGCAAGCTCGATTCCGCGCCAGGCATTTACGTCATGTTCCGCTTCAGTGGAATGGGGCACGCTTGACTGCACTTCAGCCCTGGAAGAGTATCCCGAAAGAGACAAGAGGACACCGATATCGTGTCTTTCTAAAAAATAATGTTGTTGGTTGTTTGTGGATGGAAACCAAGAAGAAACCTTAATCCAGGAAACACCGCTTTACGCCTCTCATGCTTTCGTGCTCATGCCTTTGCCAGACTGGCGCTATTTGCTCTTAGGTACGGTCCAAGCTTTCGGCCTGTTCAGCAGGCATACCGGCAGGGGAGACCCTATGAAGCCTCACAAGGCTCGGAGGAGTGACTCCCTTGCACAGCCTTGTTCAAGTTCCAAAGAGACTGCGGAATTAGAGACCTTGTGAATTTTGCCCCAAATCCTGCGTTCTGCTGTTTTTAGGTTTTAGCAGGTGGCGCCATTGTTTGACGCCTGGCTGTCAGGCCCTGCCCCTGCGGCCCTTTGTGTTCTGCGGGATGAGACTGCAGAAGAATGGGAGCGTGTGGCGGTGATGCAGGCACGGACGTTTGATCTGTGCTGTGACAGCCTCTGGTTGGGAACAGATGGCGGATCGGGGAGAATAGATGGGAAGCGTATCTAGTACCCCAAAAGAGGTTTGAGCACTTGCCAATTGGGGCCTGGAAGGCGCATGCTGGAGTACTTGATGGTGCTTTGCCGCTTGGAGAGTAGGGCTCATGTGTGTGTGTGTAGGACAGGCTTTCTAATAATTTGTCCCATTGATCCGCTTACATCTAAGGCAAGGATCTGCTTTTTACTACCAAAGCTTCTTGCAGCCTATTATCGTATCGGCCTCACAGTTTGTACACTACCGGGGCCATGTGATGGGACTCCGTGCGAGGACATGCGAGAGTCTGGCCGGTCGCAAGTCAAGGTGGGAGACATGAGGCAGGTCCTGTGAGAGGTAAGACCCGTCTCGCAGGCGTCCTAGTCACTGGCTGGTGGTCCAGATAGGCGCGAGATGAGGCAGGCAAGTGTCAGGCTCACATATCGATGGCTGCAGTGTTTGTGCGCGCCAAAGCCACTTGCAAGACTTCAACTGAAACTTTGCGGCAAAAACGTATGCGATGCCCACAGCCGTCCCTTTATAGTCGGAACCTTCAAACATCGTGGCAGTTGGCGCACTTCTAGGTCTCCAAAGCACGGCAATCAGCGGGCTGAACCGCATCTTCGTAACTCTATTGACCCTGAAAACCCTAAACCCGCCTAAACCCTAAACCCAAATGCCTGCACCCAAACCCTCAACGCCCTCAACGCCCTCAACGCCCTCAACGCCCTCAACGCCCTCAACGCCCTCAACGCCCTCAACGCCCTCAACGCCCTCAACGCCCTCAACGCCCTCAACGCCCTCAACGCCCTCAACGCCCTCAACCCTAAAATCCAAACCCGAAAACCTGAAGCTCTAAACTCTCAAAACTCTCAACCAACCCTAAACCGCCTAAACCTGTGCTGCGAGCTCCCAAACTTCAACCCAAATCGCAATTTGAACCCTAACGCCCACACAGCCCCAACCCCTAAACCCAAAGCCCTTAACCCCAAGGCCCCAAGCCGAAAAAAGCAAGATCCTGAAACCCGGAAACCCTGAAGGGGGGCAACAAGAAGAGTGTAGCTTGACTGGGCTTCATTCCATATTTTGTCAGGCGCGGTTGGTATGGCTCACCCTCCCAATTCGCAAAAGCTAAACAGTTTTACCGCGTATTCCTGTGCAATCTTTTTAGTGAGTTCAGCGTGTGGTGATCCGTCCTGAAGGATCCCTTTCAATCTCTTGATAAGAGACAGAAGGGGAACAAGTAAGGCTGAAACGCAGCTAGGCTTGTCTTTGCATTTCTGCAATGTGGGCCAGGCCAAAGATGCCCCAACCTGGGACGCATTGTGGCAGGCGCTTTGAGGAAAAAGCGGGCTGACTGTCTAGACACGTATGGTGTGCAAGTTGCTGGCAGAAGACATTATGCTTATTCTGTTTGATCGCTCCGCTGTGCAAAGCTCTTTTCTAGGGCCATGCAAAATCGAATGAATGTCTCGAGTTGTCTCTTCGAGGAAGTCAGAGAGTGCACTGGTGGGCATCCACGGACGGTCTCCTTTGTCAGTTTCCGGCTGGCTTTGCTACGCAGAGTCTGCGCCGCCAGTTTTCGAGTCTGAAGATCCACCTAGTTGGCGTTTGCATGCACATGCTCCCCGGTCAAGAGCTGGTGTATCTGATGACAGCCCAGTGTCCAGCTTCTTTTCAAGCGAAAATGCTAACGGTATAGAGCACGTCTCTGCAAGAAGCTACTGGAAGTTCAATCCAAGGGCATTTTCTCGTGCCATCCGGAAGAAGTGGCGCCAACGGACCATCCGGAGCGCCTTGATCCGTATCAGGGAAATTCCAGAGCAGGTGGAGGACATGCTGTCACAGACTGCCAGCGACCTAAGCATGGAGGTAGATGGCGGCGTCTTCTTGATGCAAGGCCGGCTTCGAGACTTCTCGCCTCAAGGCGAGCGTGCTGCGCGCACACTGGAGATGCTGCCGCTTCAGTTCGCTACCTCGGTGGAAGCTAACCTCATGGGTGCTGCCGCGGTGGTAAGGCAAACCGTGAGTGATGTCACCGCGGAGCTCGGGACCAAGGACTTTGAAGATGAGGAGATTGTGCAAGAATTGCAATTTATTCCTCAGAAGGTGAAAGACATTGCGGATGAGGAAATCCCACGTGCGGTGCATGCCTCCCTGGCTGAGCTGCAGCAAAAGCTGGATACAGCTTTGGCCTTCCTGTCCGGCTCCAATGCTGTGAAGGAGAAGGAGTTGCTCCAGCAGAAGCTGCTACGTCAAGTGCCTGCGGTGCTTGAGGAGAAGATCACAGCCACCAGGTTGGTGGCGGAGGACAACATTGTAGACGCTGTTGCAGACTTGAGGAGCGAATTTGTGCCGAACCAATGGATCGTGGAGGCACTTCTGCGCGCCAAGTCTGGCGGCGTGATCGCCGGAATGGTGGCATCTGAGGCCGCGCCCGTCGAGCCGGGCACGGAACAGCAGGCGCTGGTAGCGCCGGAGCCTGAGCCGGAGAAGGGCGCGGAAAGGCACGAAGGTGACGAAGGCAACGGAGGTGACGAAGGTGCAGAAAATGACGAAAGTGTCGAAGGTGATGTGCAGCTGCACGATCCTCCTGAGGATGGTGAGCATTATGCCAATCCAGGCAGTGCCCGGACTGAAGGCAGACAATTTGCAAGGCTCGTGGCGTTGCACGATTTGTGCACAATCATTCAACAGTTGTTTTGCTCACTTGATCCTAGGATTGTCAAATACCCGTGGGTTAAGGCAAAAGCAATGTTGCTGGTACCTTCATTTACCAGTGCACCCCCTGAGTGCGTGAGAGTGGCCAATTCTGATGGTTGTTGTTGTCAGGAACGGACCCTGTAAGCCAAATCCAGATGGACACAAACGCGGGTAGCCACTCAAACACAAGCACGCACACAAGCCGGGGCTTCCAGGTCATCTCTTCTCAGGCAGGATAGCAGTACTAATTTAGTAGCGTGGTGGGTGGGTGGATTGAGGTGTAGGTTGCTCGCTTGCTCTCTCGGTGGCAGACTGGCTTGGGTGGGGTGGTAATCTGGCCGTCAAATCTATTGCATTGTACATGTGTATCAGTTTCTTTTGTTTCAGTGTTTGCATTAAACACACGTTTGAAAAAGGCGTCTTTGTGTTGTGCAAGCATTCCGTCCGAGGTATGGGCCATCCTGAGATGTGCACCAGGCCATGCTTGTTTTTTAGTGCTGGCCAGTGTCAGAATCGCAGTAACTGCGACTTTTGCCACCTCCCGCACACTCGGCGGCCCACGCACTTGGACAAGCGCAACCGAGAGCTGTTGCGAAGCCTCTCAAATGAAGAGAAGCTCGCGACAATCTTGCCAATCCTTCGGGAGAAGTTGAGGAATCACTGTCACAACCCGCGGACCTTTGATTTGCTCACGCAGTTGGAGACATCGGCCACACCTGACGCGCTGGAGGCTTTCAGCACAACATCCAGCAAGCAGGTCGCGAGAGGGGAGAGGACGCTCAAGAGTGCCCTGCGAGCAGTAACACTGCGGTCACTGCTGACAATGCTACTACGGATGCTGCCACGAGAGCATCTTGCACGGCACATCATTGAGGCAATGATTCAGAGCCTTCGAAGTGCGGCGTAGGCCTTTGGCTTGCTCTAATCGAGTGTTGGGTCGCCACCTCGGTTGCCCATTCTGCGCTGCCTCGAGAGTCTCACAGCAGTCCAAGATTGCTGAGTTGACTAGAATTTAGCAAAGTCACGGCACAATACCCATTCTTGTGCTGCTGCCGAAGGTGAGGGCGATGCAAAGGATCGCCGCCTCGAATTCCGCACATGCACTGCCGTAGCTTGTTTCACCTTTCCAGATTCAAAGGACATGCGTTTTATGAAAAGTTGAGCTCAACTTGGCTGCAAGCACAAGTCCACCATTTTTTGGCGGCAGCTAGGGTACGAGCGCAACCTTGAATCGCTCCGAGACTTGGGGATGCTGCTTGCAATTGGTTCTTTGTTGGCGGCTCTTGGTTTCTGTACGTCGTCAGAAATTCCAGTACTGAGCTCCACTTCGGAGATTGCCACGGCTTGAACCACCGTCTGAGAGTCAACGTGTGCTTGGATGACGTCAGAGCCGATGCAAACTCAGGGGAATTTGCAAATGAGCCACCAGCAACGCCTGGGACAATAAAAGTTTTGGCAGGCAGGGTGGTGATGCATGCTTTCAAAAGGGTTTCAATGGCGGCAATAACGGACAAATCCAGCGAGCCCTGTTTGGATGGATTTGAAAGGACAACAAAACATGTCCCCATTGTCCAACTCAGAGGCTTCGCCAGTTGCTCACGTGATTCGAGCTGAACCTGCCCAAGCCCTTCTTCGTTCTTGCATGATGCCCAAGAAGCAAGCTGCAAGCAAAGCCAGAACAAAACCGGAGGTTGACGTGCTAATTACATGCGGGACACGGGACACAGCACTCCGGATATATGTGTTTGTCGCGAGTGAGCTCCTGATACTGGCAAGCAGTTGCCAGGTTCTCAGAAGCTACCAAGAGCTGACATAAGTGCAAGGGACAGACCCCTTGCCAAGAAGCAGCCCCTTCCCCTTGGCCTAATTCAATTGAGTGCCTGACACCTCCATCTATCCCATGACGCTATGGCTTCTTTGGAGGACGGGTGGATCAGATTGCAAGTGCAATTGATTTCAGTCCGAGTCACCCAGTTCTATTCTGCTTTACTCTGAAGAAACCTAACATCCGACATAGTTTTTGACCCGAGATTTCTTAATTTCTGGTTGTGTCATAGGGATTGTCCCATTTCAAAGTGATTCCAGCTTTTTGTTCGGGGGCCGACACTACCACCTTAGTTTGCTGGCGGACCTGATCATTTAAATGTCAGGAAAGCGCGGCGTGCTCGAACTGCGGCGGCAACATCTTGACGAGATGGGCGCCTTGGCTCGCAGATCCTTTGCCACCAGGATCAAAGGGAGCATGGGATTTTTTTAAATCTTGGGAGGCAATTCTTCCACATTTTTTACTAGGCGTGCGCACAAGCTCTTGCGAGGCTTTTTGCCGTCACTGTGGCATCGTTTCAAGCTTATTGCGATCCTTGTGTGATCCTGGCGCACGGGCAACTGTCATGATGGGAAGATTGGCCGCTGACCAGGTTGGTCCTGACATATGTTTGATGCTTCAGAACCACTGTGCGCATCATGTGTCTCACAATCTCTCAGTGCTTCTGACTCTAGATACTCAACACGTGCTTAGGCCTTGGATTCGCCTGCACAGCTCTCGCCTGAGCTGAGGCCCGATTTGCTTCGCACATGTGTTTACCCAAGGTGGGAGCCCGTGGTGGAGCCGTTGGTGCCCACGAGGCGCGGCTTGCAGGTCTGGTGCCCTCGCAGCCTCGAGATTTCCAGGCTCTTCGCTTTGGAGGCGCCCGGCCCAGACAAATCGGGGCGTCCGACGGGAGTCCGACGGGATGCGAAGCAGCCCCAGCCACGCTCCGTCAAGCTCAATGAATCTCCGCATTCGAGGGATGTCAAGGGTGTGGACTTGGGAAAGCAGAATCACTCAGATCTGCATCCCGAGGCTTCGTATTCCCCGTCAGAGCCCCAGCACAGGCACCAGGGCCCGAAGGCGGCAAGCAGCTTTTTAACGGCGCGACCTTGCGCATAGCCCCCCCCCCAAGTCTCTCATATATTGGAGGACTCTCCAAGACTTGGATACTCGACTTTCGCAGGCCTTGCTATCAGCGTTTAAAGGAAGTTGGGGATGGATGTGATCGATTGGAGTACCCTGCTTTTAGAGTTGCCCAGAGCTGCCCAAAGCCACCCCGAGCTGCAGGATGGGAGAGAGCCGAGCTCGTGGGGTGAGCTCGGAGGCGAGGCGGGTGGAAAGGGCTGCGAGGCGCAGTGGGATGAGCGGTGGCGCTGTTCGTTTTCATTTCATTGGCAAGCAACACTTTGCTTCCTTTGGCCCCTGCAGTTGATGCGGGTGCCCGGGCAACCAAAAGAGTGAACACTCATGATAGTCCCTTGCTAGTCACGCATGTTTTTTCAGCATTGAGAGGCAGGAGTTGGAGATTGGCATGGGAGGCTGTAGGCATCTAGCCACCTGGAGTCACTTTCACGGACCCAGCATGCCTCTTTTGACCTGCCGCCTGTTCTAGGGTCTTTGTCAAGGGCACAGCTCCCTAAGTTTTGCGACTGCCGCACATGCGCGCATCTGGATACTTGGAATTTGGGCTCAGATTGGAGCAGTGTTCATTTGTTTCCGAAATCCCTATGAGGGAGGCTTCCAGAAACTACCAGTGATGGGGCATTGCATGCTGTGCAGGTGTTTTCTTCGTGTGCAGCGCGCCGCGTGTTCTTGCCGGCGAGCAGCGCACATGAGTATGCACGGTCAAACAATTTTACGCCACGCGCGCTAGTTTGGTACAAAGTTGCACCCGCACTCCGCTCTGCACATTCGATGTCCGAAGTGCTTGCTTCGTGCATTCTACCCGACCAGCTGTTTGGGGCCACCTCTGGTTTGATTGAAAGGGCATGAACAGGCAGCTAAAAGCTGCAAAGATGAAGGCAGGAAACTCAAGTGATGCTCACAGGAAACTTTACGGCAACCGTGGAAACCCAAAGGGAGGGCCAAGGAAGGCCAGTTGTAAGGGGAAATCGAAAGAGAAAGAAGCTGCGGATCAATTTGTTGTTTGGTTGATACTTCGAGGTGCAAGCGCGCAAGCTGCCAGGTCCAGATTCGGCGCGCCAAGACCTCCCAGGACTTGAATCTGAACTTGCAGCGCCTCAGCAAAATGTTTGCAATGCAACGCACGTGCGACTTGTTTGGTGTTTGCAGCGGCTCCCACACAGGGAGGCAGTTGGCTGATTTGTGCTTCCCTTTCACCATCCAAAAGGAAGTCTTGAGTTTTTGTGCGCTCAGGAACTCTTATTTGCACCTGGCTCCGGCCGAGGCGCTCTGCAATACAGGAGATCTCCGCATGAACTGAGCATGGGCTCGAGCACCGCAGCCGTTTGGGCATCGCTAGGTGCATTGCAACCGAGCCTTTGAGCCTAGGTGGAGAAGCAGATTGCAGTGGTGGAGCAAAGGATAGTGCAGATAAGGGAGGCCTGGCTCACAGAACGCCTGGCACACGCTGATGGGATTGTGCAGGGCGATGGCGGAAGAGTGCGGCTTCTTTGCGAGCAAGCGAAGAGGTTGGAAGAAGGACCTTCTGGACTTGAATGCAATGGAACAGGATGCAATCCAATTGGGCTAATTTTGCAGCTTCTTTTGAAAAGGAAGGCCCACATCTTTGTGGCAACATTTTTCACTGGCAGGAGGGCCACACAACAATAAGCAACACTGCCCAATTCTCATTGGTTGGCAACAAGAGGACCCTTGCCGCGTCATTACCAAACGGAATGGTCGCTAGGGGATCAGTTTTGACTAGTGCTCGCATAGGAGGATCCCAACACCTCCACGTCTCACGTTCCCCTTCTTGCCCCATTTGCAAGACCTGCGGACACGGGCTCCAAATTTGCTCTTTCCTTTGCTACAGTGGTACCCTGTTTGGTTCTCACTTTAGGAAAATACCTTCAGGTCCCTTTATCGGGATTGGGGGTTCTTTCTCTTACTTCCCCATTCTGTCCAGGAGTTCCAGAAAGTCACCAACAGCTCGGGAAGAGCGGTGAATGGATTTTGATTGAGGAGAATGGGGAACATAGCAACTTTTTCTGGGTCGCAGGACTGCAAGCAATGCGGGTCGCTCGCGAGATCCACGACGAGCGCAGGTCTCGGAGGGGGGGGATCGCCGTTGGGCTGGAGTTGTTTGCGTTCCTATGTAATATATATATATATATACATGTCTACGTACACATTATTATATTCATTTCCTTGTATGTGCACAAGACATTTCCCCTGAAAGGGGTGGTTGAAATATTCGGTTTTTGGATACGAGAGTATGTGCCAACCCTCCTGTCTTCAAGACAACATGAGCCCGAATCTCATTTTGGCCGAGCAACAGTGTACATTGCCCTTACTGCAATGCACGCCAAGCCCCAGACATGTGGCGAAGCTGAAGCGTGGAGGAAAAGTAAGCCGCGTTGAGCCACCAGAGGATACCACACAATGCTATCACATTAAAGCCGCCGGATGCTTGCATTAAAGTCGAATATCACATCATTTGATTACGGTGCCTTGATATTGCTAGGAGAAAGGAGTTGAAGGTGGTGGAGGGAAGCTTTGCAGCGGACCGAAGCGTGCGAGAGCATCGTTTTCAGCATGCACTTTTCTCATCTCCGCGGTATGCTGTGAGAAGTTTTTGTGCGCAGTGCTTATTTGAGGCAGTCCTGCTTTTCGAACAAGTGCATCTTCAGCACCTCACAGGATTCCAATAGGTTACTCTATGACCATTCCCCTACAGAACTCTTACAGAACTCTTACAGAACTCTTGGAGTCATAATGCTCCTTCAGGAGCTGGAGAGAGCTGCTTCTGAGCGGCAAGAGGTGGAGGCCAAGCTGCAGGCGCGGGATGTGGTTCACCCATCCGGGTGAGAGCCGGGTGGCTGTTCATCACGGCTGTCTTGTGGGAGATGTTCCAATTGGTAGCCGAAAAGACGCGCACTTGGAATCATTTACAGATGTAGCACAGGAAGTCTTCTGCATCCGATTTGAAGGAGACTGCTGACACTATGCTAGAAGAATGCCGTGCTGATCTTTCAAAGGAGCACTCGCACCGGGGAATGGTGCAGCCGTCCCGTACTTTGGGTTCTGCATGCTCAAGGAAGCATTTGAAGGAAGGCCAGCAGAAACGCGCCAACGTTTGCCCTTGGCATGCCAGGTGCATCATGAGTGTACGCGAGAGATCAGTGAAGAGGCTGGCCCAGCGAAGCGCTTCTCATAGCAACAGCTCCAGAAAAGTTCATCCACGCAGGGCAATTCGATCAATTGCTTAAGTCCTAGCCTCAACATGGCTAGAATTGAAGCTAAACAGTCAACCGTAAATTCACATAATATGACCACGAATGTAACATGGTGTAATGTAGTGTAGTGTAGTGCAATGTAATGTATGCAATGCAATGTAATGCAATGTAATGCAATGCAATGGCAATGCACCGTATGAAATGCAAGTATTGTGTATAATGTATGTAATGTATGTAATATATGTAATGTATGTAATGTATATGATTCATGTATGTACGGTGTATGTAATGTATGTAGTGTATGTTTTGTATGTAGTGTATTTAGAGTATGTAATGTGTATAATATGCGTAACGTACATTTTGTACGCAATGTACGAAATGTATGTAGTATACGTAACACATGTAATGTATGCAATGTATGCAATGTATGCAATGTATGCAATGTGACACACTGGAATATAATGTAACGTAACATAATGCAAAGTAATGCCATGTATGTCATGTACGCCATGTATGTATTGTATGTCATGTATTTCACGTATGCAACGTATTTAATGCATGCAATGTATGTGTTTTTCTTCTTCTTCTTCTTCTTCTTCTTCTTCTTCTTCTTCTTCTTCTTCTTTTTTCTTCTTTTTGTTCTGTTATGTTCTGCCAGGATTCACTTCTGCCATGACGGGGGCTTGAACTGCGATACGGGGAAGCTGCCTTTGGCTGCTGCACTATTGCAGCATGTCGCGCGATTTTTATGCCTGCGGCTGCTTCCAGCGCGCCGCGGTCCACCATTGGAGCCACACCTGGGTCAGGGCTCAGGCTCACCCTCTTGCCGCCCAATGTGCCGCACGCCTACAGGGCGTTTTGCGCGCCCTGACGGATTCGGTGCAGATGATGCGTTGCTGCGGGCCGAGCGTCGATGCTGAGAGGTTCCAGGCACACCCAGCTGGCGAATCGCCGTGCTGACTGCTGACACTGTGGCACGGCACGAATGTCTTCACGGCGCGCCGCCGCCGCAGCCAGAGGGTGCGCGTTGACGGCATCCCCCGCTGCAAGACATCGATTTGTCCGTCGGAAGACGCTGGTTACTATCACCCCATTCCTACTGGGGCACAGCTGAGTTGTGGAAGAGGCGCTGAAACCAGCGCTGGATGCGCTGGCAGAAAGAGGATTGCAGCGTTGTGTCTCAAGCCAGGACTTGCTGCAGGCCTGGAATTTTCTGGGGTATGAAGCAGAGCTTTCACGGCCGTCCGCCCTGGCGCCCCTTGCAGCAACACCTTGACCACGCCTGCAAAGCCTGACTTTTCGCGGAATTATTGTATGAATGTAATGTAATGTAACGTAATGTACTAGACTGTAATGTAATGTATGTATGTAGACGTCTATTTCTATACATACAAAGAATGACAGACGCACGCACGCACGCACGCACGCACGCACGCACGCACGCACGCACGCACACAAACACACAAACACACAAACACACAAACACACAAACACACAAATACACAAACACACACAAACACACACACAAAAGCACACAAAAACACACAAAACACAACACACAACACACAAACACACACAAACACACACAAGCACACACAAACACACACACACAAACACACACACACACAAGCACACACAAGCACACACACACACACACACACACACACACACACACACACACACACACACACACACACACACACACACACACACACACACACACACACACACACACACACACACACACACACACACACACACACACACACACACACACACACACACACACACACACACACACACACACACACATCACACAACACGCACGCGCACAAACGCACAAACGCACAAACGCACAAACGCACAAACGCACAAACGCACAAACGCACAAACGCACAAACGCAAACGCACAAACGCACACACGCACACACGCACACACGCACACACGCACACGCACACCGCACACACGCACACGCACACACGCACACACGCACACACGCACAAACGCACAAACGCACAAACACACAAACGCACAAACACACAAACGCACAAACGCACAAACGCACAAACGCACAAACGCACAAACGCACAAACAGACAAACACACAAACACACAAACACACAAACACACAAACACACACACCCACCCACCCACCCACCCACCCACCCACCCACCCACGCACGCACGCACGCACGCACGCACGCACGCACGCACACGCGCTCGCACACGCGCACGCGCACGCGCACGCGCGCACGCACCCACGCACCCACGCACCCACGCACCCACGCACCCGCGCACCCGCGCACCCGCGCACGCGCGCACGCGCACCCACGCACCCACGCACCCACGCACCCAAGCACCCACGCACAGACGCACCCACGACGCACCCACGCACAGACGCACAGACGCACAGACGCACACACGCACACACGCACAGACGCACACACGCACACACGCACACACGCACACACGCACACACGCACACACGCGCACACACGCGCACACGCACACACGCACGCACGCACGCACGCACGAACGCACGCACGCACGCACGCACGCACGCACTCACGCACGCACCCACACACACACACCACACACACACACGCACGCACGCACGCACGCACACCCACCCACCCACACACACACCCACGCACGCACGCACGCACGCACGCACACACACACCCACCCACCCACCCACCCACCCACCCACAAACCCACACCCACAGCCACACCCACACCCACACCCACACGCACACGCACACGCACACGCACACGCGCACGCGCACGCACACGCACACGCATACGGACACGCACACGCGCACACGCACACGCACACGCACACGCGCACACACACACACACACGCACACATGCTAAACCATGATGGGAGCGGTGCGTTAAGAAGATGGCAAGCCAGTTGCCCCAGTGTTCTTGTTTCCCCTTGTGAATGTGAAGCTGGTGCCAATCCTGTGAGTTCGTTCCCTGGTTTGACCGGAGCATGTCTCAGCCCGTGGGCACATGAGGGTGGCATGAAATTTGGACTTCCAATTGAATCCAAGCGGCGGCGTTCTCATCGAATGTGTCCGTCGGCTTCTCAAGATGCAAAGGGAGCGCCTATTCCCAACAAGTAAAGGGCAACAACGGATGCCAAAATCTAGTAGATTGCTGCCAACCAAGCTGCAAACATTTGCACGCCCAAACCCGGTGCCCCTTGGGGATGGTGCACTCTCCAAAACACATGCCGCAGCTTGGGGCTTGCCAGGTGCAGCGAGTGCATGTGCTCCTGGAGAAGCAGCGTGCGGCAGCGGCCTCGCATTGAAGGGGGACCCGTTTGTCTCCCTAAACCTGATGGGCCCTTTTGACCCCTTTACCTTTTCTTTACCTTTTGGTGCATGGGTCAGCAAAGCCGGCAAAGTCAAACCTGGAGCGTTGCCAGCGTTCGGCTCGCATTTGCAGAGGTGAAGCTTGACCAGTTTTTTCCCGCGTCTCGTTGGCTTCCTAAGTCACGCCTGGCATGCGGGGAGCAGATCCTGGCAAAGCTGGAGGTCCAATGCATGCGTTCCATTGTGTGGGAAGCTTGTTAGAGACATCATGTTTGCTCAGTAGTGAGTGTGGATTTCCCTGTAAGATGGACTTTGTTGCGGGTCCCAAGGGTAAGTGGTGTGGCATCTTTGGACGTTTGGCTGTTTTTTTCATTCTGTTTGCATGCCGGGGTTTTTAGGGTGCAGCCAGGATGGGTTTCAGAAAGTGCACGAGTCCATCGTCATGGAGCAGCCCACGGCCCCAGACGCAACGCTCGTGCCGCCGCTCGCGCGAGGGAGGTTGACCCTGCTCAGGAAGCTGCGCTTCGAGGCGGAGGGCATGATGCTGCGGATGGTGGAGGCGGGTTGAAAACTGACAACTCGAGATTTGGACAAGTTGGAACACCCCCAAAACCTGTTTGGTGGGCATAAATCTTCGCGGAAGTGATTCTTACCAAAGGGGTCCCAATTAGACTCCATACCCATGTGAAGGGTTCTTCTTGGCATGGTTTTAGGGAATATACACATCACCAACCATAGGTTCCCCACTCAGCATGTTCTAGCCGATCGCGCCCCCAAGTCAAAGCAAACTCCAAGATATCCTGCTCCAACCATGACAACAAAGCACCAGGGCCACCCTGAGCATACAATGCTTAACCCCCCCCGCCTACCCCAGAAACGCATTGTCGAAGCTGGCCGGAAGAAGGTTGGTCCAAAGTACTTGTTCAAAGCAATCCCCCGAGTTCACTAAGAGTCCTCGGCACGCGTGTCCTTGTGACAACAGTTACAACAGATGGATTTGTTTGTTTGCCATTTTTCCACCGAATTCCACAAAAGTCCGTGCACCGAGCTCCTCCCGTGCGTGGACTGGAGGATGTCTGCGGTCGATTGCATGACGAGATCCAGAAGGAGAAGCGCCATGGGATTCATTTGTCGGTCTTGAAGGCTGCGGCAGCAGGGAAGCCAACAGTTCGGGACTAGCCAGATTGGCAGGCGGACAATCTCCTGCATAGCCTTAGTTGCAGAACCAATTGAGTGTGGAGGAGCGGCTACAGCGGGAAGCCGTTCAGAACAAACTTCTGGGATTGCCAGTGGCTAAGAGAGTCAGAGATCCACAGATGTCCATTTCTCAGTCGCCACAGGGACTCAAACCCGGTGGTTCATGTACTCGACAGGAACCCTGGGTTTCAGTCCCTTTGGGGTACCCGGCAAAAATTGAACCCCTGAAAAATTGTGGAAGATACCTGAAGGGCTGCTCTGCGTCCAGGTTGGAAGATACCTGCACGCAAATTGAGGCCGAAAATCGGGTTGATGGCCCATGAGCCCCGGGCAAAATCGAGGGTCCATGGGGAAGGCGAGGCCTTTAGGGCTTTCCTCAGGCTTCAGGGTTATTCAGTTTGTTCAAGGAGTTTCCTCATGAATTCAAACGAGTGTTGGATCTGTTAGCAAGCTTCCGCAGGCTTCCCCTTGTTTCGTAAGGATCAAAGTGAGCCCCCGGCTCACATACCTTCAGAGCCAACTTGATTGGAGTTCGAGCGTTGCGTAAGTCATCTTCTTGTGGGGCTGTCCGTTTTCGTTGTAATATTGACTGAGGCTCGAGTGTAATGGGCATTTTCTCCGCGCGCCAAGTTTGCCCATCAATTTCGGCACGCGCATGCCAGAATAGCTTCTCCTACCTCGCTGAGTCCAAAGGCGCGGCTTTGCAATAGTTTGGGGGTCTTCTGCGACCGTGACCCAATTGATGTTGAAATGATAAACATATTTCTCACAACTCATTCAAAGATGCTGCTAGGCAATCTGACCATGATAATTCCGTGACAACATAGACTATCCCTTGAACAATCGCTTGGTCATAACCTCCTGGTGAGAATTCATCTCTGGCACCGCAGACAGTCACAATACAAGAAGCACCACAGCTGTAGCGAGTTTCGCCAGGCATGAATCATTGACTTCAGCGGCGTTAATGAGCTTGCAGACCACTCTCCAGTCCAGTTTACTGGCGGTCAGCAAAATCGAGCAGGCTTTGTCCACTCCTGAAGCCGGGCAAGCTGAGAGTGTTGCCCGCTTCGCATCCTTAGCATGCTTTGGCTCAAGCTGTTGGATAGGCAAGAATGTGCAGGTTGCCTAGGTTTACGATGGACTCCTCCATGCCTGCACTTATTGGTGCCTGCATGGATGTAGTTCATGCAGGAGTCACGTCTAAACAAATCGACAAATCGGTCCGTAAGAATTTCATTGGAGCTCCAGCGTCGAAGCCCAGATGAATTGGGATGCAACGAGGCGAAGCGCTTGAGGCCTGGGCCCTGCAATACCAAAGATCCAAAGAAAGCAGATCCAAGAAACGACCGAGTTTCCGGAGGCAGTCGGAACTATTAGCACGGCTTCTTATATAACAACATCATGACCATATGCCCTGACTTTGCTTCTCTTCTTTTTCAGCATCTCAGTATGGTTTGTTTTGTTCTGCGGGGATGACGATCATCGCATATCAAGGACTCCAGAAGTTTCGACCCGACTTCACCAACTTTCCAGGCGCAGCACGCCTGGGGCCTGCTCATCTCCAGAGGTCTACTGAGCCATTTGCCACTTCCAGAGGCCGACAGCTTGTGCGCTGTCCATTGCCAGGGGTGAGGAGACTGAACAACTCAAACATCACCACTTGAGGCAACTTCTATTGTAAGCAATGGGGAAGCAACGCTGCGCTGAGCTCATTGCTTGATTTTCTGACGGCACCTGGCACCTCATTCTGTCACTCCAGTTCAGAGCTATGGAATCCAGAAATCCCAAGCACGCATGTGTAACACGGGGTGACACCCTCCAAGAGATCGCTATGACCTGCGTCAGGCCAAGCGATGCGCCATCGTATCTCCTTGGCTGCGCCGTCTGTCAGAATGCAAGGCCAGTGAGCAGCATGAGCAACTCGTTGCGTACTTGCTCCCCATACTTGATTGACTATGGAAGCGCCGGCAGGACCAAGAGTGCCAAGGCGCGACTGTGCCATTTCTCTCTTTTCCAGCGCGTTGCTCAGCGCAAAGCGCTTCAGGTTCTGGCCTGGTCTCCAAGGGCCTTCCAGGTGGCATCACGCAGCTGCAACTCATATTGGCATCCTTTTGCCGATCTTTGGTTTCAGATTTCACAGTCTATGCCCTCTCGACCGTTTGTCTCCACAGCCCTTGCTTCTGAATCACCGAGCCTGAGGCAGCCCGTGATGGAGATCCTTTGGCGAGAGGAGCTGGGCGCGCGCCGAGCAGGTGCCTGGCAGGTGCGGTACGAAAGATGGAGAAGAGCGTCGGAAGGTGAAGCTGGCTGGAAGGTATAGCTCTGCGCGAGCTTACCAAAAAAGCCTTTGGGTTCTTTCGGCAGATCTTGAAGTTTGCAAGAGAGCAACGGCTTTCCTGTTTTTTAACGGCCTGAGACCGCGAAGCCCCATTTTCAGCTTCCAAGTGTTTCGAATGCTGGCAGGCCTTGTTGCTCGGGGGGATCAATTTGCCCCGCGACTCTGAGGATTACGTGTCTTGGTCGACTTTGAGGGGGAAAGACGGGAAAGAGCTGAAGTCCATTTGTCCGCATGCCTTGCTGCGGGCTTCGCTGGTCCAAAGCAAAGAAGCCGTGCGAGCCGGCGCCAAGGAGCGGCTTTGCGCCCAGACCTGCTCATACGATTCGGCAATCCGCCTCGATGTGCATAGACGCTTGGCTCAGTCGGGCTTAGTGCTTAGGTGGTCGGCTGACATGTGCCCTTGGTTTAGGATAAGGACATTGGAACTGTAGAGAGTCAGAGCCGTGTGTCCGCAGAGATGAAACAACGAACCAATGAGAGCATTTCAGGTGTTTTAGCTGGGTCACCAGCTTGCCGGCCAGGAACGCTTCCCCAAGAAGCCCTGTTCAAAGAATCTGATGGACGTGGGCAAGGCATGCTGTTCAGGCTCGTGGTTTGCCCCACTCACACAGTATGATACATGTAGGAGTTGCAACTGCAGCCGTGATGTAAGTGGGCATCTCCTCGCAAGCAAGACCACATGCTCGTCAATCCACTTATGCAGATGAGACCGTTGCTGCTGACATCTTGGCCCTTCCAGGCTTTTGCGCGCGCTTGCAATTCGACTTACTGATATTGGCTATTGTCAGAGTTTGCCCTGACCTCGGTTCGTTGCTGCAGTGGCTTGCTTAGTCGGTGCTGCCTGCAAGGAACTTTGTGATGGCAACCATGAGCCTGGGGCCGCATTTTGAATTCGCGTCAGAAGGGCAGGGGTATGTAAAAGTCTTTGCGGCCTTGGCCCTGCTTTTGGTGGCTTGCGACATTGCCCAAAAAGCGCCAAGCTCAAAGCTCCAGGATTCTGGTGTTTCCGGATGACGAAGTTGCAGCATTTAACTGCGCGCTGGCTTTGCTACTGCGCCACGCTTTGGTAGACTTGTACAGGCGGGGGACGGGCAGGCTCGCAGGATGCCTTAGCGACAGCTCTCCTTTCCTCGTCATGTGCGCACTCACAGTTGATCTTATGTCTCACGAGGAGTCCCTTTTGGGATGCTTTCGAAAGGGAACCAACAAGAAATCAACAGGAAACCAAGCCACCAGGGTACGACTCATTTTGAGACCAGAGACCTTCGCTTCGCTAGGCCAAAGTTCCAGAAGTTGGAAGTCGTGCTGTGGCAGTTCGATCGCCTCGTTGAGGGCTTTCTGCCAAAGGTCCATGCGGCCCTGATGAGGTCCCGCGCCCTATTCGGCTGCAGGATTCGGTCGGATGTGGCGTCAAAATCGAGAACCCTTTGGAGCGGTTCGAAGGGGAAGCCAGAATGGTAGCTACACCAGAGGCTCGTGTCAGGTGTCATCTCGAGCGTCATTTTGGACATGCCAAGGCACGGAGTGAACTCGGAGTACTATGCGATCCAGTGGTTCCTGACGCTTTATGCCAGTGACCTCCCACAAAGTATGGTGCGGCGGATATGGGATCGATTCCTGGTGGCCGGCTGGAGAGTAATAGCCCAAGTCGGGCTGGTGCTGCTGTACCGCATCCAAGATGCCTTGCTCGACATGGCCTGGGGCTTGGTCTCCTTTTGGCTCGTTTCGGCTCTCCCCGCCTCAGGACACCTGTCGCGCCCTGGTGTTCCTGAAGAGGCGCGGCTGGAGCTTGGAGCTTGGAGCTTGGAGCTTGGGTCGACGGCAGCGTTTGGTCAGGTTCACACGGAACATAAAGTTCAGTGCGGAGGAGCTGCTTGACACGGCCGCCACGTTCAAGGCCAGGCAGATGCTTCTGAAAACGTACACGGTAGGATATATATATATATGTATATATATATGTCACTTTTCTGAAGCTGGCTTGTTCAATCGGCTTGCCCGGCGTAAGGTATCCCACAGAATGCTGTCTGCGCTCGAAGCAGCGCATGGCTGGCAAGAGCCTTCGCAGCTGACAGTCATCAAGGATTTGAACAGTGGTGGCTGAGCTGCACTCACGCGATTGTTTGCGCGGCAGCAAGCTAAGTAAGTGGCTAGGTACGTTTTCGATTAAATATTCGGATGTGCAGTGCCGGATTCAGAAGACGCATGCAGGGGGGCACCAATCTTGAGGCAGATTTAGCCAGCACTCCTCTGGATCTGAGGCCATGTGCACTGGATAGTGCAGGCGATATCGCCTGAAGCTTGCGACGAGCCCGAGGCGGCATACGCATGGTGGCATGGTGCACTGACGTGTATGGCCAGTTTTGAACATAGGCTGGTTGTATGGTGTCAACGGTCGCAGACGGTTTCCCTGATTGCAGCAAGTTTTGAAAAAGGTTTATGGGTTGGGTGCAGCTCCGTTGCCGTACTCAGACATGAGTACGGCCTTGTTGGGCACCCCAGCAGAGGGTGCAAACATTTTACGCTGCACAAGCTTGCACGGTGCAGAGTTTTGCCTTGGTCGCAAAAGCGATACGAAGAATAAGCCGATCTTCCCGTAGAAGCGATACGTGTTATATACATCATGCTCCATCAAAATTTATCGTCAAAGCTACGTTCCAACCTGCGGCGGGCCTGACATCTGCCGGACAGACGATCCACATAGCGGCGTTTTTTTGGCCGCAAGCTAATTTAGTAGGGAGAGGGACAGTGTTATTGAACATGTGCAGCGTGCCACACGCGCGGAAGCATGCGAAGGCTTCGCGGAAGGGTTTCCTTCGCGAAAGGCTTGTGCAAACTTTGATTCATTGTTTTAGTTTGCTTGCGTGGAAAAGCACGGAGAAACGATTACAGTAGAAGCAGAAAGGTGTTGCTGCGTACAAGAACCAGTTGCCAACAGCAAGCCAGGAAGCCCAAAACAGCCGGCGGATTTCGCGGAAGGTTTGTGGAAGGTTCGCGGAAGCTCCGCGGAAGAGTGGCCCTGTGTTTGCAGGCAAGTGCCCACGCAGCACAGGTAGCCGAATGGAACCTGAGCCTACACAGGTTGCGGCCAAGCGAAACACTTTCCTTTCTGCGCCAATACTCGCGGAAGCAAATCTTGTGAAACATGCGCCGCGGAAGGCTTGCGGAAGCAACCAATGAAACACATGTGCCGCGGAAGTTCGCGGAAGGGACCTCTTGGTCCGCAGCAAGGATGCGGAAGGGCCCGCGGAAGCTTGAATAATGCCCAATCAAGTTTGGAGGGAATACCAAACCAACGCTCATATGAAAAACGCTCACATATGCATTCGGACTTGGGGGAGAGGTTGCAGAACTCGCTTCAAACATGGCGAGAGTTGCTAGTCACTTGTTGAATAGAGGCCCTCACAACAGGTCCATCGCTGTAGATAATGCTTCCGACTGCATGGTCGTTGCTCCAGCCATTTGAGCGCTAAATATATTCAAGAGGATCAGTCAGCTCAAGACTCATCATTTGAGCTTCCTTGCAAGGATTCATCTCGGTGCCGCAGCTACAGCAATCTCCCCGGTCACGCAGGACCGTGTGATTCAGCTTGTCAATTGATCGCTTGGGATTCATTGTGATTCATCCACATGTGTTATGCCGGAGAAGGCAGAGGGTAGGCCTTGCTAGCTTGCTTCGCAAGGTGGAAGAAGTTGTCAACAAGGCAAGGTTCTGCCTTTCCTGCTCCATAATCTCGACACGGGCGAGACGACGATGATGGAGAAGGCAAGGAAGCACATGGACGCACATGGACGCACATGGACGCACATGGAAGCACTTGCTAGATTCGAGCAAAGGCTTTCTCCCAGTACAAGGGAGAGATGCACGAGCAAGCCCGAGCCAAAGCAGGTCCAGCTCAGGCTAAGGGGTGGGCGTGGATGTACGTGAGGCCCTACGTGCTTTCCTGTTGCACGGGCTATAAATCCAGCTGTACTCAGATGGCCGGGGGGGGTGCCGGAGTGGCTCGATTGCGCCGACTTGTCAAAGTGGTGTGGCAGGCGGCGCCTTCGTCTGCAGACATGCCTGCGGTGAGTGCACTGGAGGCTCCTGCAGGATTTTCAGGCAGCTTTTGGATGCAGCGCCCTGGCAACAACAGTAAGAAGTGTGGGGTGGTGGAATTTGCATAAGCGCTTGAAACATGTCAGTTCAATTCAGCTGGGGGGGCCAAGCTTGGAGTTGCACGTTTCGCAACAGAAGTAGCAGCAGCATCAGCTGCTTCTGCTTCTGTTGCTTCTGCTGCTGCTGGTGGACAAGTGTTCATGTTAGTTGCTGAAGGGCTACTCCCCCCCCCCCGCCCAACCGCTTCCGGGTGATGCTGGTGATTCTGGTGGAGTCGCGGCTGGCTTTGACGCCGACAATCATGTTTCCTGTGAGGCTGGCGATGCTGCCACTGGCATTGAAGATAGTGCATTGTCGAGCCCTGTTTGGACAGGCTTCTCCCAAATTCCGGACCAACATCACATCCTCCAGACCAACATCACATCCTCCAGCAGCGCCAAACATCACCCAACTTACGGACTCTATCAGTGACATCGGGCCATTTTGGGAGCAAGCGTCGACCATTTTAGCTTTCAAGAGCAACACAACGTCTTCTTCTCTTGGCTAAAATCATGACGATGCTGGTTGTGTCGACCATGTAAGACCCTGCAGGGTAGAATCGAGCCCCAAAAGATGCCAACCATTACGCATGTACTTGACCAGATGCGCGCAGGATTTGGTTGGTGTGCAGATACTAAAGCTACAATGCTCGACAGCACCAGCATCCCCATGGCTGCATGTATAACACATGTATAGCACATGTGGATGCTGCTAGTGGCATCAACACCAATTTAGCCTACGGAGCTCTGGTGCTAGATAGGCGTAGAGGAGTCTGAGCCACCCCTCCCACGCACCTTTTCTCCTTTTTTTGGTAGACATTCTGCATCTGCATCTCACAGAGAATGTACTTGCTATTGAGTGGTGGTGCCCCGATCGTTTTGATCAGGCTACCCATGTCGTATTCTTGTCACATCAGCTTTCACCCAGAATCATTGATCACACCCGAACACGGCAGAATACTGGCCGACCGAACACCCCACCATTGGCTCGTGAGGGCCGTGGTTTGAGCCGAGGACGGTGCAGCGGCAAGCAGAAAGACGGCTTGCCCAGGCGTAGCTTACAGGCGCTGTCAGCGATTGAATGCAGCTCTCCTGGTTCGTTTCCTGGCCAGGTGCAAGCAGCACCTTGTTGTTGCTGAAATCCTGTTTGGCGCAGCGTCGGCGGAAAGAGATTTTGCCGTATTTCAGAGAGTCTCCACAACCCCCTCGAATCACACTACCAGGTGTAAATGGGGAACAACAATGGGATAAACCTTGACCCCCAACCCAATACCTGCTTTGGGGTAGTGGAAATCCTCTCACAATGCACTTGTTGCTCCTGCTAGTTCATGCCATGTGCATCGCTTGGCACTTGCCGCCGTTTGGCAGTAGGAGTAGCAGCCCGGCGGGACTTGGCATAAATCGGGGACTTCGTTGGCCATCAAAGTTACCTTAGCAGCGCCAAGCAGAGCCAAGCAGAGCATGCTTGCAACTCCCTCCGTTTCATTAGCACGCGTCGCGCTCGCCGATGCCTGAAGTTTCCCGGGAGCTGCAAGACAGGCCCAACCTCCGCAGCTTCCTCCAGAAGCTTGCAAGGCGGCGGAAGCGGATTCTTTGCTCCAGCAAGCAGCGGAAAGCCATCGAGGCGGCGCTGAGGAAGCTGGGGGGCAGGGGCCTGGCGACCACTGGGCGCATCCATTTGAATGACCTCAAGGAGGTGTCGGTGAGAACACGGAGCGTTTTTCCTTTGTGAATTTCTTTGTGGGCGTTGTTCGAGGCAAAGTACTGCTTATCCTTTTGGGAGCTTCTGCACTTTGACTTGCCAGGTGCTACGAGAGCCTCCGAAGAATGTGCCCGCGCAGACCTTGCAGGATCTGGTAGAGGTGTCTGTGGCATACGACATCGGGGGTGGAATGCTGGATCTGGATGAGCTGCTACTGCAGGCTCTGCATACAGAGCCTAGTGTGGTGCAGCGCATGGGCTGCCTGCTGCCGCTGCTGGTGCTTTTGGCGTGGATGCTCATCGGGCCAGCCGTGTTCTGCCCTGTGGAGGAGTGGGCCTTCCTGGATGGCCTGTTCCTTTCCGTGATGACCCTGGCCTCGGTCGGAACCAGCGGTGGGTTGTCCAACGGCGGCCAGGTGGTCCCGCTCAGCGATGGCAGCAAAGTGTTTCAGATCTTCTTCGTGCTCACGGGAGCTGTGCTGGTTGTCTGGTTCCTTGTGGCCGCGATTTGGGACATGTCCTCCTATGGCTCTTCTTTGCAGCGCACGGACCTGCTGGCCCATGCGGGCTTCGGCACCAAGGGGGGCTTGCCCCTGGAGGAGTTGGTGGGGGATCCCAAGCCGATGCCGATTTCGGGGGAGGACCCGGAGCAGGGCTTGGATTCGGAGCCCTTGGAGCCGAAGGTGCCATGGTTACATTGAAGGTGCCATTGAAGGATCTGAAGAGGTAATTTCAGACATTTTAAGACCGTCACGATGCAGGGTCCTTGTCAAGGAAGGAGCATGCTCCAGAGTTGGTGGAGTTCAGTCTCCCTTCAACCCCACACCACATGCCACACTTTCCATGGATCTAAATCCAACATGTGTCAAGAGGTGACCCGTGCACAGGGCATCATGCAGATCCACCGGGAGAGCCTCCGGAACTGGTCGAAGCCCCGGGCCCGGCAGCTGGAGCTGGCCTCGTGCTGCTGCGTCGCCTTCTGGGAGACTAGCTCCCTGGATCCGTTCAAAATCGAAGACCAGCGATTTAAATCCATTTAGGGGTAAGTTCTGGGCTTCCCGAAAGATTTGTTACCCCAGGCACAGGTTTGGTGATCCCAAACCAAATTGTATGGGTCTTGGGTAGCTTCTGGGTGTGGGCTTAACAGATCTGAGCTGTTTCTTCGTCACTTCAATTGACATTTTGAGCGTGCGAGGTCTGCTGCTGACCTTCGGCATCGTCTTGGTACTGGTGACTTCCAGTGGCGCCTCCTTTCTCGACGCGCTCAGCTGGACGGTGCTCACCGGTCTCACGGTGGGCTACGGCCAAATTCAGCCGGCGCTGGGAGATCAAGGGGGAGACTGGGCCCGAGTCTGGCAGGTGGTCTACGTCCTGTGCTCTCTTTGTTGCCTCCTCCACATCATCTTCCTGGTGGCGCGGCGGGGGCTGAGAAGGCAAGCCGAGCTGCTGGAGCTGCAGAGAAGGCAGCGTACACTGCCCGTAGATTTGCTCCAGGACTTGGACAACGGCGGCGGCGTGAACCGCTTGGAGTTCCTTTGTGCGTCCCTGCTGGCTGCAGACCGGGTGTCTGCGCAGGACCTGTCCTATGCACTGGAAGTGTTCCGCCGGCTGGATCCACACGGCACCGGCGTGATAAAGACCCCGCAGCTGGAATCCCTGCAGCGGCCCAAAGAGCCTAGGACTTTGCCGGAGATCTTGCAGTGCCCCCACTTCAAGTCCCAGCTTGAGGCGCGGCACCTCAGGCTCACCTCTGGGAATTTGGAGTTATTGAAACTTTTTGTGGGACATCTTGGCATTGGTTTGTTTTGAGATTGTGCCAGGTCGTGGAGTTTCCCATGCGCAAGTCTATGGATGATGAAAGGCCAGTGCGAAAGCATCAAGTACTTGTTCCATGCCAGTCTGTGTCAGGGCGGCGGCTGTACTGCGAGAGATCTACCAGGACTGATGGCCTCACAGAAAAGGGTTTTAAGTGAGCTAAGTGAGTTGAGGAAGCGTGGAGGCGAGTTGACATGCAAAAATTTGGGGCGACTATGTCACAATATGTCACTTTGTTTCCTCATACATTATATATGTGTATGCACATACATATATATATATATTATATATATGTATATGCATATATACACATAATGATATGAGAGCCTGCGGCGGAGTTGCAACCACAACTTCGCTGCCTTGTTTGCAATGGAAGGACTATGATGCTGTTCGACGAAGTCTTGACGCGCTTCTGGCATGACTTGCCTTGGCCGGCTGCTGACTAGCTCGCCAATTTGTTGCTTGGATGTTTCCTAAAGTAAGAGCCACAACATGGTGGATGTCCTTTTGGTCCTGAACAGCTCCAAAAAAGGCTTCTCCCTGCAAGTGCAGCGTCTGGGCTGATCGAGCACCTCGCAGGCCAAGGATGCAGAATTGCTTGCTGCCCTCAAAGAGCACAGTGCCAGTGAGCAGGCCAGCGGGGGTTTCCATGCTGCAGAGCTGAAACATGTCTTGCATTTCGTTTTCGTTACCAAAATGAGGCAAGCAATTGAACAGTATACATATACACCTAACGATTTCCGGACCTAGCTCCAGACATGGTTTGCATTTCTCTTGGCTCAAAACTGACGTAGCTGGACCCCACTCGACCATCAAACTTGGGTACTGCTCAGTAGAGGATATTGCCAGGTTGAAGTTTGCAGGGGCCTGCAAATGGGTAATGGTAGTAATGGGTTTTAACTCTTTGAAAGGACTTGGTGACCTCCGGAAAGACGCACCCAATTTTGCCCGGCCACTTCGGGAGGGGTGTGCCTGTCGAGGCGAGGGCGCAGGCAGTAGCGCAGCGAGAGGCTCTGCGCAAAGAGGCATCCGTTTGCATTTCGGCGTTTCCTCCAAAAACAGCACTTTCCCTTGGGGGCCCTTCCAAGAATATCACATACTATCTTATTGGCAGCGTGGTGTGGATTTTTCCAACTCATCTCAGTCCACTGAATCTCCAAAAAACAGGATGCCTATGTCCGGAATACCTTTCAATGCGTCAACACTGGGCCAAGTGGTTGGTGACATGTCAGTTTACCTTCAAAACTATCCCCAAAAGGGCCTAGTTTTGAAACCCAGACAACGATGGTGGCTTGCAACTGTGTTCAGCAATCACAGACGATCCCTGGAGACAGACCCCTGTGGAAAAGGAGGTGATTCAGATGCTTCGCCTTAACCCAGCTGCGCTGGTTTTGTCGCGGTCCTTCCTTTCGCAGATGCTCGGAAAAAGGATCTTAGGCGGCTTGTCGGAAGCTCAGAGCAAAGAAGCAGAAGCAAACAACCAAGCAACCCACACTGTAGGAACAAACCCAGCATTTTGTCACTGGGTCGCGCCGCGCACACTCGCCTACTACAGCCGTAGGCTCCAAATCATACTGACAGATGAGACAAGCTAAGTCTCGCACAATTTGTGCGGACATCTTGCTGATTTCATTGCTATTCCGGCACGTTGGAAGGTCATGCAGCAGGCTCAAAGTCATGAAGCAGCTCGGCCGGCGCAGTTGCAGCATGTTCACGCGCAAAGTGACAACAGGCCTATGGCCCCAAACGATAGCCCACCAGCGACGTATCGCTGGCCTTGCCCTAGTCTGGCCGTACAGAGACGCTGACAGATGAAGAAATGACACCAGAATGATCAGGGCCAAAAACAAGACCATGTTGCGGATGCAACGGGCAAAGCTACGGAGATGTCAATGTTGAATCCAGAAGTTGTAAATGCACAAGACGGCACCGACTCAATGAAGCGCCAACGACTCCTTCAATACGTTGATCATTGATCATGTAGGGATGAGCATGTCAACAAAGGCCATGGAAGCACGGGCAACGCATGTTCTGATCTAAGAGCACACGAATCATGGGTTGCCAAACCAATAGCAATTCAAAGCAATCTACGGCCAACAAGCCTTGTTACAAGGCTCGAATTTGTTTGAAAGCCACGCTTCTGCGGCACAGGGCTCAATCTAGCTCAAAACAAAGACGAGGAGGCCTGGCTAGTGCCTCGCCAGGCCTACTGCAGTAGGGCACCGGACAAGCACAGGTTTTTGTGGCCCCTGCTGGTTGTAGACTTTAGCCCAAAATGCAGGCGCCAAAACGCCTGGCTTTGTCAAGGATTCCAGACTTAAGGGATCCCGCCGTCTGTGCGCTGTACTAGCATTGGCAGATCCAAACATTCTTCAATGCCCATAGCGTGCAAAGAGATCGATCTGGAAGCATGCCGGTGCACTTTGGCAAGGTGATGCTGCTGTCGCAGATGAAGACGGATCTGGTTCAGAGAGCTGAGACGGCGCCATCGAAGCCCGGCGGCCAGTTTGTCAGTCTGGCCATTGCCAGGAGAAGCAGCAGCGAAAGGTGGACGAAAATGCTATCAGTGCGCTGAAGAACAGGTGCTAGCTGTTCAGTGTTGCTTTGCCTATGCCAATGTGTGTGGGTGTGCGCTGCCGGTTCATGTTTAGCCCTTGAAAAGATGCTAGTTGATTGCCAGAAGAAGTACCCTCCAGAAGAGAGAGGTTGCAGAGGTCAAGCTGTCAGGACGATTTAGAAGTCCCTGAGAGGTGCACATCGCTGGAGGACAAGCTGCAAGAGGCAGAACTTGAAAGCGAGCAGGCCATCTGGGTCTCGCGTCTTTTTGCCCTTCCCTCTGGAAACAGATTGCATACCGCCCAGCCTTCGATTTCGATGCCTTGAGGTGCGCAGGCACCTGAGGATTAAGGGCAAAGAAGCCGCCGAGGCACGGCGTCTGTGTGGTGCCAACGATTCCTAGTTGCCAGGCGCAGCAGCGCAGTCAGGAACTTGAAGGTCGGCTGAAGGCGAGTGCATCATGTCGAACCACTCGCTTGCCGAATGGTTAGCTTCCTGCGATTGTGTCTCAATTTGCGGGCATCTAAAGTGGTTGATGTTTGGTTTGAATTCGCACCGACGAGTCTCCCTTTACACTGCCCCATGGACTTGGAGCAAGCGCTGGATGTCAGGAGGCCGACTATGAGATTCAAGGCTTCGGACGCAGACTGAAGGCGACCTGCTTGCAACAGCGCGGAATGGAGATTGCCTGTGTGTCACAAAGACCCGCTTGGGGACGGGTTCAAAGGGAACCAATGTGAAGGCAGCCATTAAAGGGGGGCTTTTACATTTTTTGCAGCTGGCAAACTTGAATCGCCCTATCCTTGAGGAGCAAGCTGAGTACTGGAAGCAAGAAGCCGAAGCACAGGTGCATCAGGCTGGATGTTTCTCTTGAGGCTCATAACTTCTGCAAGTTATGAGCCAAAAGATGGACAAGTCATGTTGGCAGCTTTGTCGTCTGCCTCCACAGCAACAATCAATCACAAAGACGAGCAGGGGCCACTGGATGTATCGTGTGGAAGCAGTAATTTGCGGGGGGGGGTCCGCTGAAATTGGTTTTTGTGAGGTGCAACAAAAGGAAATGGGACACTTCGATACAGCAATTCCTTCCTTCCTTCATATTCCTTCGATACAGCCTCTCTGAAAGGCGCGCTTAGAAGCTGCGGAGCAGGATATGGAGAGACAGGCCAGCGAAGTGAGCTGTAAATCAGGGGACCCCAATGAGGTTTTAACAAGCATTTCCGGCGTCCACCAATGTGTGCAGAATTCACGAACACTACGCTATCAAGCCATGCAAAAGCTCTCCTCTTGGTGTTTGCAAAGCAGACGTTGTCTTCGGAGAGATGACAGGGAGAAATGCAAGCCGCCCAGCTGGAACTGAAGGCGCGCTGTCAGGGCAGCCTGCCGTTCGTGTCATCCAACTTTCTTCTTTTCTGGTACAAAGATGTGAGGTACAAGCCGAATGATCCCTTGTTTCCCTCGAGGGGTGGGGAATAGATATGAAAGACGCTCGGAAGACATCCCGCTTATTGCAACATGCAGGCTCTCGCGTCTTCCATGGAAGCGATGCGAGGGCAGCTGCGGGACTCGCGCGCGCCTGAACTTTTCCTTCGGCAGAGTGAAGGAAACTGACTCGAACACACCTCCAGGTTTCATTCTTCAGCCACCCATGAGCCAGTCAGAAGCTCAGCGCCTCTTCTCATCCTGGTTGTTTGTTCTACGTCTTGAATCCGATACCTCTCGGATCTGCCACCTCAGGCGCGGCGAGTGCCCTTGCAGCCCTGGGACGCTGGGAACTAAGATGCGAGTGGAGAGAGCCTTAAAGTTTGAAATGCGCTGTGCAACCGTGGGTGTGTCTGTGTGTGTGTGTGTGTGTGTTTGGGTGTGCAAGCGGGACGGAACCCCATTTTTGTTGAGCCGGGTATGGGAACCAAAGCATCCCACGATTCGGCGATGCGGGTTTCTTGCACGGCTTCGGCAGGTCTGGGAGAAGGCTATGGCCTGGCACCACGACCCCGCCACGCGTCACACGCGAGCGCGCTCCCGGGAGGCTGCTGTCGGATGGAAGTGTGAGGAAATGAAAGTGGAAGCCACCCATTCTAGGCATTCTAGAGGTTTGGGCATGTCCGGCACAGGTGCCCACTACTGAGCTTCTCGACTCCCAGGCAGGCTTACAGTTAGTGCAACTCTTTGCTTCGACAGATGGCATTTGGTCACCGAGGTCAGGCAGCAAGTTGAATTCCTCGACGCGCAGGCCATGTCAATTTGCAACAGCAGCACACATATCTACGCCTTTGCAACAGGTGAGGCAGCAAGCTCAGGCCTGGATAGCCAAGGCCAGACTAGTTTTTGTTGTTAGGTAGTGGCATACCGACGTGATAATTGGCTCAAGAAAAACTAGCTGCTGCCCGTGCTGATTTCTAGGTAGATTCCACCTTTCAACAGGTTATCAGCCGTATCGCTGGTACCTTGTACAGTCAGCTCTCACCCGCGCCGCAATGGCGTCAAGCGGCGACGGATGCCACCCTGCCATAGCAAGGATGAACGAAGCAGTGGCCAATGAATTGATCAAGGGTGGGCATCCGGAAGGGAAAACGCCATGCAATCCGTCGCAGCGCTCCCGAAGCAGTTTTCCTGAGTCCGACCAAGGTGATGCGCTTGTGCCCATCACTTCGGTCGTCCTTCCGGAGGATTCAATGGGAAGCGGAGGGGAACCTCTCGCCGGACATCAACCAGGGCAAGAGACGCATGCACACATGACTAAGGATGAGACTCACCTTCATCAACATCATGCGTGCGCCCCGAACATATACCAACACAGTCAGACGGTGAATGTGGTCAACGCAGGTCCGAGTACGGAAGAAGTGGCTGCCTATGCTTCGGCACGCCACGACGCCATCATCAATCAGCTCCAAGCAGGCCATGTTGAGGAAAAAGGCCGACTCTACCAGGACGCGGTGAATGACATCAATGTATGCCAACAAGAGGCAATGGCGAAGGAAAGGGAGTTCAACGAGGCAAGACAGCAGTGGGTTGCTCAATGCTTAGAAGCTGAAAAGAAGTATGAACAGCTCAGATTGATTTGGGAAGTCACGAGCAGCAAGCAGAAGGAGGACGCAGACAGGAGTGCTGCTGAGATGAGAGAGATCATCATGAAGCAGTCGAAGGACATTGAGGCACTACGTCATGAACTGAAGTCTCGTGGTGAGCAAAGTAGTTCTTCTAATGTTCCGATTTTCGGACTGAGGCCGAAGGCCTCTCCTGTACCGACGTTTCCTCCTCTCGGCCTGGATCTTAGTTCCAAGGTACGTGTCAGGTCAGCTTCCACCGAACTCCGCCGTGATGGGCCAGGTGCCGCCGATGATCCTGATGGTGATGCAGATGAATATGAACCGACATCCCCGGCACAGGATCCCAATGATGGTAATAGGAATCCATCAGGCGCAGGTAAAGGCCAGAGCGGAGGCGGTGGGGAACCACCTGCCGGCAATCCCGATGATGACGATGATCACGACGACGGCGATGACGATGGAAATGATGAAGGGAAGAAGAGCAAGAAGGACAAGAAGAAGAAGAAGGACAAAAAGAAGAAGAGCAAGAAGGACAAAAAGAAGAAGAAGAGCCACAAGAAACGAAAGAGCGGGTCTCCTTCTGACTCTCCGAGCTCTTCATCGTCCAGCTCCTCAACATCATCATCCTCATCATCATCATCGGAGAAAGCCCGAGCGATCCGCAAGAAGCTCAACAAGATCTTGGGTAAGCAGGCGACCGCTGTGGACGCAGACCATGATAAGCCCAAGGTCAAGGAGGCGGAGAGGATTATCATTCCCTCCTTCCCACTTCCTGAGAGTTACAGGAATTGGCGCATCAAGGTTCGGGAAGCCGTGTGCGCGGCGTCCGATCGCCCCGATGACGCTTTTACGTGGATCAGCAGAGTGTGGGAGCCTGCCGTCGAGGAGCTCAAAGAACCAGGTACCTTCCTCACCTTGGACGCCAAGTTGCTGTCCGCCCTCACCAACATCATTCAGGGTGACCTGGCGAGACAAGTCGACGCATTCAAGGAGGTCGAGGCGCAGAAGAGGAATCCTGTTCGTGGAAGACAAGTACTCCTCATGGTGCACGAGCACTTGAGTACAAACATCAAGCACGGAGCCACCTATGCCATGGAGGGCCTCAACGTGAGGCTCGTGAACGATAACCTCACTTCCTTCATGCGTAGCTGGGAAGGCGTCCTTGCGGGAATGAATGCCAAGACGCCGGATGACTCCATGCTTGAGGCTCTGTTCTACAATAAGCTGAAGAAAAGCAAGCAAATGCAACACCATTTGAATGTCTATTTGAGCGCCTCGGAAGAGTCCGCCGATCACTCATACACCTACTTGATTGAATCTGTGAGGCAACACCTGTCTCGAGCCAGGCTCGAGCGCAACCGAGAACGGGTTGCTAGGCAGAACGGAGGTAGGCCAGCCGCACCCGCCGCTGAGAGCCAACGTGTGCCTAAAGGGTTTTGCGTTGCATTTGTCAAGTACGGGTCATGTCAGCGGGACAATTGCACGTACAAGCATGAACAGCCATCGAGCAACGCCAGGGGTAGGACCCCGTCAAGAGACGCTAAACCTAAGAAGGGTGAGGGTAAAGGACGGACGAACAGCCCGAAGGGGAAGAAAGAGTGCCGTTTCTACCCTAAGGGGAGGTGTGACCGAGGCGACAACTGCCCATTCGCTCACATCGATCCGAAGCCGGCCGTTCCCGGGTCTAGGGAACCATCCGCAGACAAGCAGAAGAAGGAGAAAAAGGATCGGAAGCGTCGCAAGTCGAGCAGGGATCGTTCCAAATCGACCTCTCGATCCACCTCCCGTGACTCGAAGGGAGAAAAGAAGAAGAGTCACAAGGGGAAGTCTTCCGGAAAGCCATCTCCTGCTGCTGTTTGTGTGTTGGGATGCTTGCTGTCCTCCATGATGAATGCCCCTATCGCTGAGGGGAACCTCATGCCGGACTGGAAGCATGTGCCTGCCCTTCCGGGTGTGCGTTTCAACTCGAGGGTTGAAGTAAATCAGATACCAGCACGTGGTGAGCAGTTGAAAATCGCGGACAGACCGCGCGTGTATTCAAAGGTCTACCCAATTGACCACCCGTTTTTCCATGATCAGATCAACATTGATGATGCTAGGCTCGAAGCAGTCATGCTCGCTTACACTGTAAGACGTGAAGTGGAAGGCCATCCGGCCAAATGCAAATACGAGTGTGACAGCGAGATTGGGTGCGACCACTGCACCCCAAGACACATGGGCGCAAAGCCCGCGCTTGCGAGCAAGAGATTTTCTCCGAACTGTTCATGGATTATCGATACTGGAAGTGGAACAGACCTTTTTACCCGTGCGAACTGCCCCGAATATGCAATGTATAATTCAAATGACCCCGTGATGATGACTGCCAATGGACAAGTGATTCATCAAAACAGGCCAACATGGCCGCAGGTGACCTTGGGGACACGAATCCATATTTGTTGCCACAAACCCCATCTGTTCTCTCTGTTGGTTTGAAGTGCATGAATCAGGGTTATGACTTCATTTGGTACGCAAATGATAAACCATTCTTTGTCAAGCCTGACGGGACGCGCATATATCTCACAGTTCGAGACTATGTCTTATGTTCCGTACTACGACGTGTGGGATGGCGACTCAGCCATGGCGTGTCCCGCCAAGGGCAAGCCGCAGAGCCGACCGGAAGGTCAGGTCGGCGGAAGCAGTGCATCCAGTGAATCATCATACTCCTCCCTGCAGACTGAAGATGCAACGGAAGAGGAGTACACGCCTAGCATTGCTCCTCTAGAGGACCCTGAGGTGCATGCTACGGTTGTCGCTGAACTTCTGGCGGATGACCCCAGTGAAGTCAAACCAAATGAACATGCAGAGCCATTAGAGAGTAAAGATTTGGCAGGGGAAGATGTTGTCGGCAATCCTGATCAGAAGGCCCCTAGATCACTTGCAGAAAGTGCCCTAAGGCAGGAAGCAGCATCACGGAAGCACCTAATGACGCACCAGCCAAAGAACCCATTCTGCGAAGTGTGCAAATGCGCCAAGATGACCAAGTCTCCCTCTCGCTCGCGGGGGGGATCCAGACAAGTTGATGCTCGAAAATTTGCTGAGCACATCACAGCCGATTTCTTAATCACTGCAGACGAACAGGAACTAGGCATAGACGATGAGTACTCTGCTCTTGTCATAAGTGACGTTGCTACCGGTTTCAAATATGCATACCCTTTTGCTAAAAGAAACACGGAAGCCACTGTGAAGGCGTTTCAGCATTTCACTTCCTCGTCAGACGAGGTTGGCACGTTTTATAGCGACAATGCCCCTGAGCTAATTGCTGCAGCTGAAGAGATGGGCTGGAGACATGTCCTCAGTCAAGAGTACATTCACAAATCAAACGCGGTGGCTGAACGAAGCATCAGAACCGTGCTCGAGGGAACTCGAGTCGCACTTGCACAGGCCGGATTGAACCATTCATACTGGCCGCACGCCGCAAGGCATTGGTGTTTATCTCAGAATGTTTGTGAACCACCTTCTGGTTCCAGGACACCTTGGAATCTCAGGTTCGAAGAAGAGTTCAAAGGTCAATTCTTGCCGTTCGGATGTCGCATAGACTACTGGATTGGTCCAAGACAGAAACCGAAGAAGGACTTGAAGTTTGATCCCACGTCCAATCCGGGAGTGTTTGTTGGATATGTTATCCACCCCGGCTTTCTATGGAGAGGTGATTACCTTGTTGCATCGTTGAAAGAGCTGAATGAAACAGACTTTGATGATGTCGTGAAGTTGCATCGTGTTTTCAAGATCACGAGGCCCGATGGAAACTTTGTTTTCCCGATGCAGGACCGTTACAAGTCCCTTCGAGAGGGTAAGACTTCTTCGACTCAATCTGGTCCCACCATTCAGGATGCCCCTCTCCTAGAAGCGGGACAAGACCCGGAGGCTGTTGCCGATGTGGAAGATGAGACGCTTCTAGATGAACCTGCTCCATCAAAGATGGAAACAATCAAAACTGTCGATCACAAACTGGTGGGTTTGTTGAAATCCCGAAAGAAGGATCCTCATTCTCAGAGGCGGGAGGCTTTCTGGTGAGGAAGTACAAAGGGACAAACCGACCACCCACTATATCCTCTTTCGTTTGGCAATCTATGTCTCAGAAGCAGCGTAGAGAGGCGAAGCAAAAGTATGAAAAGGATAAACTGGTCGAGACGTTGCCGAGCACAGCTGATCGGCAAGCGTCGAGCAAGGAACGCAAGGCGGCCGCCGCCGAAGCCAAGGAGCAGCGCAGATCGGAAGGTCTTGCC